ACACACAAAAATGTCCCACAATTGATTTTCTAGTTTCTGTTTGTGTTGTTGGTTTTGGTAATCATCCAAATCTAGCACATGAGGTGAGTTGTTGTTGTGGTTTATTTTTGTGTTTTTATTTATGTTTTGTTTGACAGGCTGGGGATTTACAAGAGAGCACAGGCCTGACAAGGGTACAGTCAAGGCAGGTACTCAAAGGCATGAAAGTCACAGGTAGGCCATGCCTTGGGTGGTGAGTCACATCATCATCTCTCACTCTCTCTCTCTCTTTCCTTGGGCTTTGTGCCCCACAAGCTGTGAGCCGGCTTTGTTGCAGAGTTTGAGCAGGCAGGGGCACTGGACTGGAACAAGGAGGGCAATTGAAGGGAGCCTGTTGTTGGAGTGGGTGTATCTTTCTCCAAGGCAAAATTGTCATGAGTGGGGAGAGAGTGTGTTTTTCTTTGTCTGTTTAATGATGTTTGTTCAGTCTACCCAAAGTCCTGTGCCCTACCTCGCATCAATTCCCATGCTGCCCCTACAACTGTTCTTTGTTGTCATCACTTCCTTTGGCTCAGTATTGTAGTGTAGTGTGTAGTGCAGTGTGCAGCTTCTTGCTATCTGCACACCCTCTCTTGCAGGGCCTGGCACCCACTTTCATCCATCCATTCTAATCACAAAAATTCTGCTCTGAGTTAACACTTCATTTTTCAATTGAGCATTCCCAAATTGGAATGAAAGAAACTTTTGGAATGTGAGTGGTTGTTCATTCATTCACCATTTTATATTTAGACCCTGTTCAAGTGGGTTTCATGTGTATTGGCATTGACTCTGGGGTTGGACCTCAAGTTCTTTCTATGAATAGTCTTTGCCTGTTTGTGTGTTGTATGTAGTGTGGAGGCATCATGGCCCCTCAAATGTGACAAAACTGAGGGATCATTAACTAAATCTTCAGAGAAGGAACCATACAGCATTGAAGGCCCCCCTGTACAGTGGTTTGCTCTCAAGGACCAGAAGCTTCAGACACTCCTACACAACCTTATTTTAGGAAGCCACATTCTTTGGAGATCAACTTAACTCAGTAGATCCAGTATTAAAAAATAAAATAAAATAAAAAAATGATTCTCAAACTCCAATTAATGCCATTCTTCGTTCTTCTGTCCATAGAGAATGGCACCCTTTTTATTTTACTCTTCTTAGAGCACTGGTGAATCCATAACTGTACTACAGCTATTCAACACACAGAGTCCCACAAAACTATTGGTGAGTTACCCATGTTTGAATACAACATTGTAAGCTGAAGCTGATTTTTTTTGAATTTCACAACATTTTGGAAGCAGTGTAGAGAGAGAGGAAGCTATCAAATGGACTCATACAATGAAGAGCTATAATTGTTTTTGAGAGCCTAAGATCACATTTCATAGATCTTCTGCTCTTTCAAGTGGGTTTGAAGCAAATTTAGGATGACCCCAGAGCTTCTTCTTCTTTTCTTCTTTTCTTCTTTCTTTTTTTTTTTTTTCCTTTTTTTTTTTTTTTTTTTTTTTTCTAACTTGAATTTTTTGACTTGCAGACAAACTTGCATTCCAACCAATTTGACTTTCTTAATGTCACTTCAATCAACTTTACTAGTACATATTCAATTTCAAAAGTCTCCTCAGTTTCATCCAATCAATGGTACTCACAACCTTTAGATTTGAGTGTAAGGTGAACATGATTCCATTACATATGAAAATCTAAAGGAAGCCTACGTTGTGGGTCAGAATTATGGAATTAGACACAACATAAAACCCCCCTTTGACTGGATAAAAGGCTCTCAAGCAAACTTTCAAGTGGATTTTTGAACAAATATTTTTTTTTTATCTAACACAGGCTGAATGGAATAAGTTATTGTGGACATCTTTAACATGTAGAATTAAAATGACATTTCAGAAGAAGTAACTTGATTCTGTCCATTGTATACAAGTCTAACTTTCCCTTGGTTTTTTTAATATCACTCTTCCGTCTTCTGAGATTATCCACTTTAATCTCAAATGGTCAAGAAAACTATATGCTCAAATAAAAATCTTGGTTTTGGATTTTATTACCAATTATATGTAACAGCATTATATGAACTTTCATGTATTATTACACTCATTAGTTTGATGATTCAATATCAGCTGATGTCTTAACAACTTTTTTTTAAAATAAATTACATAACTATTTGAAAGGCTGGGTGTTGATTATGAATTAAATTCTGCACAAATTGGATATTTGAAAGGTATTTTGTACTATTTAATGGCATAAGTTATGGGAGAGGATTAATGCGACAAAAGAGCAAGTACTCCAGTATTGCTTTCTTTAAACAACAGGGTAAATTACTTCATTTAGCTATCACTTTTTAAATTTTTACTGCAATAGTCATTAAAAACTCACTCATAACATATAATGCACATTAAACTTTGAAAGTAATGCATGAAATTTGGGTTATGTTTTATGGGTCAATCTATCTAATGGCAATATCATTGAAATTGTTTTTGAAGAGTTAAAAATTAGAAGGTTGAAACTTTTTATAAACACTGGTGTAATACTTATATAAATATAAATATTCCAATTCTAAAAAAACTCCATGTGGCAAACATTGATAATTTTTGTATTAATAAGGTACTGTTAAAGCTTTAAAATGTGTATTTGATGAGTTTGTAAAAAAAAATTAGATACTTATATATATAATTTATTATTAAATATCACTAGTTATGCTGGTGTATGCATATTTATACTTGAATGATTTCTGCAGATTAGGATTTATCCTAGTTGACACAAATCATAACATGGTGACAACAAAAATAATAACAATGTCAAATAAGATGACAGTATTGTGAAATAGATCTTGATTGACAATTCTAATTATGAATTGTAAACCATTCAAAAAGGTTAAAAAACTAAATTATGAGCTTCTTTTTACAATATATATATATATATATATATATATATACATACAACGTATGTTGATATAGAATGTTTATGAAGCATTTAAACTTTTTCTGTTCTTAAGCAAAATTCATTGAAGAAAATCTTCCATTATTGTAATTAATAAATTATTAATATATTGATATATTTATACATTGAATTATACTGTGATTAGAAAATGTAAATTAATTCTGTGTTTACACTTCTGTGATGTAAACTTCTCACTTCACATACAATACAAGCACATGGGAGTGCTAATACTACCAGGCCTTCACAACCAACCAATTTCAGCACTGTCTAGTTATCACTCAACAAATTTTATTGTCAATTTTTTCCATGTACATCATCACATGCTGTCAAAAATCACACATGTTGTGTAAGGCACATGTCTTTTTTTGCAAGATCTTCAGTTCATTCTTGTAGTCAGCCAAAGGCTAGTTTTAGATGATATCCCCATGCACCCCAGCCACATAGAATGTCATTCCATCCTCAAAGCTTTTGTTTGGGTGGCAGTTATCCCTCAAGGAGCACAATCTGGCTTGTGATCTTTGAGGAGAGCTCCAGAGATGTACACAGAGAATGTCCCCACCACAGGCAAATTTGGAGCCCACAAAAGCAAGTTGCAAGGTGCCAATTACTATGGAAGCAATGCAAGCCCAGCTTCAAAAATCCTGTGAGATAAATAGACTTGTGATGCAGATGGGAGGGGCAGTTTTCAGTAACCATTGCAGAGATGGTGATGGTGACCAAGTCAGTATTTGCATTGGAGGTGACAAGTGAAGAGAGCAGTCCATTGACACAAGGAGGGAGAGGGCCTGGCATGGGGATTATACCATGGCTCTTGGTCTTTCACAAGGTTTTCAGTCCATGTCCAGATGTGAGCCCCTCTGGGTCTGTCTCAACATTGGAGAGAGTCACACTTATTCTTGAGTACACACACCTGGGTTTTGATGTAACAGTTCTGTTGAGTGTTTCACCTATCTCAGTGGTGACTGAGTTACAACAATGCACCTTTTGGAGATTGATGGAATGGAAACCTATGATGCAGTCACATTAGTATGAGTGGACCACAGTCTACCTTCAGGTAGTACCACCACCATCACATCTCCCCAGTTTTCTCTTTGTGGGAATAATGGACTGAAAACACATGGAGAGCGTTTTTCAGTCTCCAATAGTTTTAGCTCACTCTATGGCTCCCAGGGAGGGATTTGATGAGGTCTACATCAAATATGAGTGCAGAATAGTAGAGAGATCACTGTTTCACATGCAATGACAGAATGATTGGAACCACATGGTAATTACACTCTTCTGATCTAGGGATGTGGTCGTCAAAGGTTTGAGGTGGACAAGATGCTGGAGCAAAGCATCAATGTGTAGAGTTCATTTTGCCGTCATATCTCAAGGTGGACCAGCTGGTTGTTACGTAGATAAGTATCACAAGCACAGGAGTCGACTCTGCATGGTGACGGAGAATAGTTACGCAGTCAGGATAGTTACACAGTTTGAATAATCTTCAAAACCATTCACACCCGGAGGATCAAAGAGGTTGAATCACACAACGGGCATGTCAGTTTGCCGCAGCGTGCAGTGGTACTCAAAGCTTAAGGTCAAAGCCAACCCACCAACAAATTCAAACGCTGGATCTATCGAGCATGTTAAGTAAGTTTTATCGACAAAGTTGGAAATCTCTGGGTAGAAACAGGACCAAAGACTAACACTGAAACAGCGTTTCATTGGCACATCTCCACCGCCAAGAGGAGCAGCAGCAACAAAATAGAACATACTGTACAATGTTCGACTTCAAATCTACGAGATCGAATGAGCCCATTTGGAAAGATACAGCACAAGGATGTAAAACTAACGGCATCCGTTCAGTAGCGGTCCCTAGCTCCAAGGAGGGCCAGATCATGAACAATGAAATCAGAGCAAGAACTGAAAGAATGATGATAAAACGAAATGTAGAAAAAATCAATGAAAGCAATAAAAACGAGAACCAAGCGATCGACAACATGAACCAGCTGCCAAAAAGTTGAGCTAAGCAGGATAAATAATAATGTAACCAACAGTCAGAACGCAAGTAAGGAGAAAGCTTCAAATAATTTCCATCACTTCATTACAAGGTGTTCCACAGGAATCCGAAACAGAAATCTATGTGTTGGTAGCTCTAGTGTAAATTTGCTGGTTCGCGTGAGCGGCAACGAGTCGGATGGTCCCTTTCGCCATCAACTCCTTAATGGCTTTCCTTGCCAAAGACCCAGTAATCTGCATATCAACGACTCATTCATCAATTCAGGCTCTTAGAACGGTACACTCATGTCGGGAACCGTGTTCCAGTTGAGAAACCCCTTGCACCAACACATCGTCGAATCCCGAAAAGCTTACAAAAGCGTGATCCTCAAAGCTAAAAGATGACATCATCGTACTGATATCATTCACACAACACCCACATCACAAATTCGCAATCCAGCATAAATCACGCCCCACTTTGTTCTAGACCCGATAAACCCCGAAAGCTGCGCTAATTCGGGGAGCGCCTCCATATCACTATTCGTTCAAATATCCATTGCCTATCAAATCCAGTTCACACGATGCTACAACCGCAAGACCGTTTCATTAGGGCATCGTACAGTTCCATCGGGACACCCACCACAGACGTGCCAACTCATCGTAGAAAACAAAAACCAATCCGTCACTTACCCGCAGACGGTCGGACAGCACGGAAGGAGTAACCAGCTTGAACTTGGGAACCTCCGAAAGCAATTTGTCGTAAGTGCCCTGGTCAAACAACACCATGTTGTTGACCTTCTCCTTCTGCTTCCCCTTGCTCCACTTCTGAAAAACGAAAAACCCTAATAACTTCAGAACACGCTCTCCCCAACTCTCAAGAATCATTACCTTCAGTGCCTCCAAAAATTTCTCTTCAAAAACGTAACAGAGTAGTGAAAAATTCCGTACCTTCTTCTTCTGCTTGCCACCGCCGCCGCTCTTAGCGGGCTTGGCTGCAGCGGGCGCCTCCTTCTTCTTTGGGGCCTGTCCAGGCGAACCCAATCCACCACTGAATCATTCGAAACCAAGAAAATTATCAAGCAAGGAATAAATTCACAAATCAACATCAAGCAGAGAGCGTACCATGGTCCAGAGTGGTGTTCCAGGCGCAGCAACAAAGGAGCGAGAGGAGAGGTGCGAAAGCAGAGCGAGAGCCGAAAAGGACGAAGCTTTCGCTGCAAGCCCTAATGAAGCTCAATTCTCGGAAGAAGGTGGAACGAATGAGAACGTTGCGGTGGTGGATGATTCTGGCTTGGATGGACACTGGTAAAGTAACCGCGTGCCTTTAAAAGGCTTTATCGTCTGAGAAAGGAGAAAGATTATCACCTACTTGAAATCTCGTGAGCTTCTCCACCTGAGAAGTGTATCATCTCGTTATGTAGCTTCACTTATCATTTTAGTTTTCTAATTCTAGATTGTTATAAATGGAGATCTTCACTTGCCCTATGTCATCAATGCATTCCATCGGTTGCAGTAATCTTCAGAATTGTTTTGTAAATGTACTGTCTACACCCAATGAATGTTGTTTGAACTACTTTGACTAGGATCTTGATGGTGATTATGTTTAACTCGTTGTCAAACGACTCATTGTTTGATTTATTCTGCCTGCGCATCAAAGAGCTAAAGCATGCAAGTGTCTAACATCAACAAAGATAAGAAGACTGTGAATACCGTGATGGCCAGCAGATCGGAGAAGTTAATGAGTCCAGAACAGCATTTCTAGATATAAGAACTGGATCAGCGAGAACGACAACGTAAAACAGGCTTTCAGGAGGAGTGCCTTCTGGAAGCACATGGCTGTGGCTGTAATTGTCCACGAAACAGCCGCAAATGATAGCTGAGGCATAGATAGATTGTTTGAGGAAGATCCCAAGTAGTTCTATTCCAATCGAAGGAACATACTGCAGCGAATCCCACGTCCAGCAAGTCAATGTGATGTAGATGTGTTTAGATGATCCGAAGTTGACGTTTCTAACTGTTATGCTGTCACGGAATGTCATTTGTTCCAAGAACAAGGTGCACCTGTTGTGCATGATAGTAACGAGGATCTCAATCAAAGCGACTCTGAATCGTGCCGCAGGTCTTCAGAACCGTGTCAAGTCGCTTCCTTGCGTTTGCTGAAGTCCCTTGGCAAATTGGATACGAACCAGATTGCAAAAATGGAAGGTGTTGATTGCTCACTTGAATGTATGGGATTGTAATGCTGTACCTATTACTGTTGAAGATGTAAATTACAATTACACTTCTGAAACATGTCTGTCCCTGGTGCGTGAGAGCGCAGGAAGGTTATGCAAGCCTGAGGGCTGGCTGCCCATGGATCGTGTGGGTGGTTCTGTTTGCTGAAGGTACTGGATTTACTTAATTTGCCCTCATTCATCCTTTTGTCATCCAACGTTGTCTTAGGTGAATATCATGAGCTCACTCACTCAACCCAGTAGTAGACAACAACAAATTGATGGCTATACTAAAAAAAATAAAATAATATAATGGATGGCTATAATGATGGCTATACTAAAAAATAGAATGATGGCTATAATGATGGCTATACTAAAAAATAGAATGATGGCTATACTAAAAAACAAAAAATAAATAATTTAACAGAATGATGGCTATACTAAAAAAATAAAAAAATAAAAAATAAAATTATCATCATTAATAGCAAAAAAGTATAAATCCAAAGCCTTCTTAGCCATAGTGAAAAATCAAATATACACATAATCTAAATTCCAAGAAGTTAAACAACATCCTTAGTCTAGATCAACTTATCAAGGTAACCTTTTCAAGATTGTATCTCAACATGATGATCCAACAAACTCATGGAAGATGTTGCAAAAGATGTTTTAATTAGATAATTAAGAACAAATCATGTTCCTCACTAACAAGCTCAATTTCATGGCCATGCACAAGGGTGGTGACATCAACACCTATTTCACCAAAACAATGGATATAAAAAAGCAACTCAAGTTTATCAAAGAAATTATCTTGCACAAAATACTTAATAATTTGGTCTTTAATAATTTCTTTTATAGCTATAAAATTAATATATAAAGTATCAAGTATATTTCAAATTCATCATTTGAAGATGTCATGAAGAAGTTGTTTATAAAAATACACAAGATATACATTTATGATTAAAAATTTGATTACAAAGAAATATTGGCTATTTAATTGCAATCTTCTCTTGACTTTAAGAGGCAATACTCAATTTAATAAAGAAGCAAAAATCCGCATTGTAAAACTTACAGCCAATACAATTGAAGAAGAGTACCATTGCATCATAAAAGACCATTGTACTATCCAATAGAAGAGTCTCGAGTTGGTTTAGTTGGAACCTTATTTACAAGTCAACCCTTATATTGATTTTCTCTTTTATTTGAGAAAAAAACTTTAATCTTGAATAAATTTAAAGTTTTTTTAGAAGCATTTGCAAAGACATTTGAAAAACATCAAAAGGTTTGAGGGATGTCATGTAAATAAAGATTGTTATATATAACACATTGAATACTATCAATCAATTATAAAGTATGTAATTTAAATCAAATACAAATGCACACCTAATACACTTTGAAGAAAAGATTAGAAATCTAAATCAAACTAAGTCCAGCTATCTCTTATATTACAAAAGAAAAATTCAAGAGTGCAAGTATAAAAATAAGAAAAATCCTAAAATTTTACTAAAAGAGCTAAAATACTATAGCCAAGCAAACTTGTACAACAATTTCTATCACTCTAGTAATCACTCACAAGACTTAACTTGACAAGAATGTCAAGTCAAGGATTTTTTTTCTACTTAAGTAATCAAATCTTAATTGACATGAATAAGTCAACTAACAAAAAAACTATCAATGGATAAAAAACCACTAATCAAACTGAATTATATATTTTTGGTGGGATTTGGCACCTAATGACATACCACATGACAATTATCATATAAACAAAGATTATTACACAACTTAATAAGTGCTATCAACTATTATAAAATATATAATTTAAATAAAATACAAATATACATCGAATATACTTTCAAAGAAAGATTAGAAATCTATATCAAACTAAGTCAAGCTATCTCTCACATCACAAAAGAAGAATCTAAAAGTATAAGTGTAAAAATAAAAGAAATCTTAAAGCTTTACTAAAATGGCTAAAAAACCATAGCTAAGAAAATCCTTATAATAAGTTCACTTACTTTAAAATCACTCACAAGACTTGACTTGATAAGAATGTTAAGTGAAAGATTTTTTTTTACTTAAGTATTCAAATTCTAATTGACATGAATAATTCAACTAATAGAAAAAATATCAATGGATGAAAAAATACTAATAAAACTAAATTACATATATATAATAGAATTTGGCACTCAATGCCATATCACATGATAATTGTTGTATAAATAAAGATTGTTATATACAACATATTGAATGCTATAAACTAATCATAAAATATGTAATTTAAATCAAGTACAAATACACTCTCAAGTGCCCTCTTTAGTTGATTAGGAGTCCCTCCAATTAACTAGGATTACAAATATACATCATTGAAAATGAATGCCACTATAATGTGAATGCAAAATTATACTCCTTTAAACTTAATATTATAGTAGTTAGACTACTAAAAAGCATTATATATACAATAGAAGAAATCTTCAATCCTTATCAAGAGATGAAGCATGGCTAGAAGACTTCTTATTATGAAGACAAATCTAATTTTTTCATAGGAAAGTTGAAAGAAGTAGTGTCAAACATGCCATATGCTACTCAAGTTAGCATTGATTACATAAAAGCATGGTAGCAACTTCTTTTTTCTTATCACATATAAAACAAAGAAGATCAATTGACACAATTGCCAATTCAAGATATATAGAATCATCAATAGGAGAATGACAACAAGCACAATTTTTTGAATGTTCCCGACACTCTTGTCCATCTTTACCTTCTAATAAAAAAATATCACTACACAATATATTCTTTATATATAGAATTGTACATCTTACCTTAACATTAAGTATTATAAGCACCTCAAATTGTAAATATACATAATCTTCTTCAAAAAATCTTTACAATTAGGATATATAAGTTCTACTACAAATATAAGTATATTATAAAGTATTACAATGTTGAGCAATAGATAAGTTTTTCATAGCCATAGATATGACTTATCTAAAAAACTTTGCTTAATCATGTAGACATTGAGCTCAAACATCAAGATCATCTAAGTTTATAATTAGAGCTAGTTTCTCATGTATTGAGCCAAGTAAAATTGATTCCTATCCATATAGCAATTGATAAGAATTATAAGATGCCAAAGATGCTTGTCTATTGAAACAATAATCTATCACAATCCATGGCAATATCAAGTCCAAATTATAATAGTTTCCATGAATTAATCTATACTTTTATAATCCACATTTGATAGTTTGAAGAACCCCTTCACTTAGGCCATCTAGCTCACAATGATTTTTAGATATGGTATAATAATTTATCAAAGCTTTAATATATAAAGCTTTAAAAATTCCAAAAATATTTCTTCCTTGATTCTTAAAACTTCAATAAGTACTCCAAAATGTACTAATATTCTATCAAAAAAAGCCATAGTTGCCAATTCTGAAGAGTTTTGTAATAAAGCCACAAGTTCAATGTACTTGCTAAAATATTCTATTATCACTAATATTTATTTAGCTCCACGTGAGATAACAACAAGTAGTCTAGCAAAATCCAAAGACCAACAATAATACAAATTCATAATAGGTAGTAGCTTCAATTGAGGTCATAAAGTGTTAAAGCTTAATCTAACTCAATCACACACTTTATATCAAGAAACATATGTAGTTACTTGTTGATAAATATCACTCCACCAATATTGATTATGCAACATAGAATATATCATGCACACTCCAAAATGTCTAAGTTCTTTATGTACTTATTATATTTATGAAGGCTCTTTGATCTTACCTTGGAACTATGCACCTAATTCCATCAGACCACAAATAAAATAAAAATTATTCTTCCAATAAAATCTTGTTATTTGTTAATTAATCCTATTTATTTTCATGTTAGAGGTAGTAAAAGAAAATGTTTCTTATTGAAGCTTATATAAGACTATAAATTCTTTTCATACATTGCTAATTACTTAGTTCTTGTCTAATTTTTATTTGAACTCTACTCAAGAACCATGGTTGTAGAACTTGACATTAAAATCAAATATATGGCTACATGTCGTCTAAGAATTCTTTTT